AAAAGGTCACATAAGATTTTAAATTATTTAACTAAATGGTTTATTATACAAATATGTAAATCCATTTCATGAAAATAATTTCACATTAAGTCCCCCATCAACAGCTTCTTTTGAAAAAATGGGACTTTTACTTTCACATCTATACCAGGCCTCAACTTGCCCCACCTTCCCTTCCAGTCAACCTTATTATCTGACTGAATACCTTTAGGGAGATACAATTCATGTGAGTGGAAAGAATAAATAACCTGTTTTTTCAAGAGTTTGTATCACTGTTTGGTGATTTTCAGCATAGTTTGTCTTCCTAAAATAATAAATATATACCACTTAGTTAAAAGAATTTGATAACGAGGTAGTACCTATAAAGCATTTGGACCTTACCTTGCAGACAGCATACGTACAAACTGAAATTATTTAATTAAACATTTAATTTTAACACCCTTTTTTTGTCACTCTACTGCATTTATCTATTGTTCCTACACAGAATTCCTTTTTCTCACATGGGGTACATTTCCAATCTTACATTGGTTCTCTTCAGGGCAATGTTCCATTCTCTTGCAAACTTTCCAAATTGTCAAAACAAAACCAAAATGCAACCTTCTCCATCTTTTCCCATTCCCTATCTATGTGCTTTTTAACTTTAATATACCAATATACCCTGTTTATCACATTCTAAACAGGGAATCCAAGAAATTAAAGCTTCAAATTCCTCATCCTCCATGAATTCTTTATCTCATTACCCTTTTCTAACTTTATACACAATCAAGAAAATGAACTACAGTGAGGTCACTTACCTTTCCTTCTTTTTCACCCCTTGATAAGATTATTTCAGGCCGACTGCCCTGATTATCAACTGAAGGTATGAGTCTGGATTGGTATGAGCTGTGAGCCTTCCCTTAATTCTTTATAACCCAGACACGTATCTATAGTTCAGCTATAAAGAATCTCATAGCTCAAACTCACTACACATTTACAGAGCACTGTTTCCAAATTATAACTAGACAGCCAAACTGGATTTTTTACTTAAATGTGCCCTGGGCAAAGAACGTATCATATGCAAAATTATCTCCCCAGTCTGGTGGGATAATCCTAAATGTTCCAAATCACTGGAGGCTCCTCTGAGGGCCCAAGAATCCCTAGGTCTTACTTGGTCCAGACATCTAAGGTTATGAAAATTCCAGTTATAGCCTATCCCACCAGCCATCCTCCTAAAACAGCAGTTTGACTGGCAATCCCAGTCATATGAACAAAGCATGCCTGCTCATAACTAGGGGGTAGGCAAAACTCACCTTAATCTGCAAACTAACAGTCCACCTACCCAGCACTATCCCCAAGTCTTTATACATCTTATGACTTAAATTGCAAGCCATACAAAAGGCTATAGCCACTGACCAAACTGTTTTGTTTCTTGCTTCTAACATTCTTCTTAATCTTGGTTACATATTGTAATCACCCGGGAAGCTTCAAAAAGTGATGTCTGGGTTCCAACCCAAGATTTTGATGTAATTGGTGTGGGTGTGGTGGGGGGGTGGCTTGGATATTAAAAACTCCTCAGGTGATTTTAGCATAGAGAGAATTTGCAAACCCGATGGTGTAACATGAAAAACCATTTTCACACCAACCCACTTGCTATGGGTTTAATTGTCATTGTCCCCACTACCCCATCACCAAAAAAAAAAAAAAAAAGATATGCCAAAATCCTAATTCCCAAAGCCTCAGAATGTTACTTTATTTGGAAACAGGGTCATTATTAAGTTAAAATGATGCCATACTGAAAGGTGGGCCACTAATCCAATGAGCGGTGCCCATATGAAAAAGAAGAAATGGCATGCAAAGAGACACAGACACAGGGACAATGCCAAGTGAAGATGGAGGTAAACAAGGGAATGGTATAGCAATAAGCCAAAGAACACCAAAGATTGTCAGCAAACCACCAGAAGTTAGGACAGCAACATAAGTAGTCTTCAGAAGGAATCATACCTGCCAATACCTTGATTTCAGATTTCTAGCCTCCAAAAATGAGACAATACATTTCTGTTGCCTAAACCACCCAGTTTGCGGTACTTCATTACAGCTGTCTTAGCAAACTAAACCACCATGTTACCTAAATATTCTTGACTCACTTTTTAGTTTTGATACAGGTGTATCTCTCCAATAATGGGACACTCTACATTCACCCACCCAGTCCTATAATTTATCACACTACTTATTGCTTTTTTCCTCAAATTCTTAATGAACACATATTGAAAGAAAGTATGTGCTTGGGACTATTTAACACCAGAAGATAAAAGGATAAACAAAACCAGGCACAGTCCTTACTTTCATAGAATTTATAGTCTAGTGAGGAAGGCAATCAAATAATCACCCAAATATAAAATTGCAACTGTGCTTTGCCTAATAAGAAGCTGTAACTAGATTCACTCTTATGAAGGACGATAAAGATGGCTTCTTTGAGGAGTGACACTTAAGCTAAGATTTAAAGAATGAGCCAGAAGTAGCAAAAAGGGGACAGTGTTGACTGAAGTACAGGGAACTGCATGTGCAAAGTCTCTGTGACTGGAAGAATGCACTGGATATCTTTATGCAGAAGGTCGGTAGGCTGTGTCCAAGTATTATTTTCAAAGGCTAAAAAGCATGATCCTTGTACAGATATAAATATACATGTGTCAAAGACTTTGTTCAACTCAGTACTTAGAGAGGGAACCAGAGAGTAAAGTTGACTCCAAGAGGAATGAGAAGCACTTTATACATATTATTAGGACTATAAAAGAATGTTAAAATAAGATTGCTTAGGTTAGATACAAAAGTGGTTAATACTCTACAGGGGAATAAAACCAAAGCCTTTGGGGATTTCTTTTTTCCCTATCAGATAATTCTTCAAGTTAACATGTAACTTCACAGTGTGTGGATTCTCATTAGACGGTAAATATCAAAGTCAAACACAGGTACAATTTCCTAGAGAATTTAAATAATCTTCGTGTGTTTGTTAGAGAAAGTCCCAGAGGGACACTGAAAGGAAATGCTGCATTCTCTTTTGATTTCTGAGTTTGGGAAAATATTTCTTAATAGTCAAGTTGCAAGAGGCAGGAGAAATTTGATGCAAGATGAGAGTGAAGATTCAGAATCATATAGACAATTATTACTAAAGTCTCGCATTTCTCCATATAATAAATCATTATCTTTTTCCTGAGTAAATTGGGAAGGGGTTCGAGAGCCATCGCTCTGAGTTCTTAATCTTAGTGTTTCAAATAGTTATCTCACTTCCAATTCATCTAACCTTCTAGATCAGAACTGCTTTCCCCTATGTCTTCTTGTAATTGGGTATAAAAATGTGCAGATGTTCTAAGCTTATGTCTACACACACACACACACACACACACACACACACACAGACACACACAAATCCAGATGATGTTTTAAAAGAAAAGTTTGACAATTCCAAATAGTCAATTAAAAATATGTCCCCCAAACCCAAATAAGGTTTTAATCCTTTGCCAGGCCCCAACTGAAGCAATCTTCTTATATTTGCATTGTATTCCCTTTGACCCATCCTAAAGAACATAGACTCCACAACATACACAGAGTATACCTACAGAGATAAGAATAAATAGTATGGGGCCGGCCGAGTGGCTCAGTTGGTTAAGAGCTCACTCAAGAGTTTGAGCTCTGAGCAACAGCGGTTCGAGTCCAGCCTGAGCTGAGCAGCCGCTGAGCTGCCAACAGGTA